AAAAAAAAAAAAAAAGTTTGTAATCTTTGTGTCATTTTCTGTTTCAAAAGCTGTTACACAGTAATATAGGATGTTTTCAAGCCTCAGGCACTTGATAGTTTCTTCATTTCTTGCATTTAAGTTCCTGATTTCTATAGCTTTGTCTTAAACTACAGATAGATCTGCGTGACAAGCCTGCAGTTGAAAAGCTTTTCGAGTCTAACAAGTAAGTTATACCATGTTAATTGCAAGGATAATGATACTTTAATTCTGAATTTTTCTTGTACAATCTTCCTCTTTGTTGATCACCATTCCGTTGTTATTCTAGCCAATGTTGTTTTTATCTACGGCACAATAGGCCGAAAACTTGATAAACATTTTCATGAATTATATACTGTTGACCGGAAAATATGCTCTTGTCTAGCACTTTCCAACATGATGGCTGAAGTGTTTGTATTTGTCTATTGCTTCCCTTGCTTTACGTTATTTCTTTAGTTCAACATCAGTTTCATATGTAATGCAGGTTCGATGCTGTTATCCATTTTGCTGGACTAAAAGCAGTGGGTGAAAGTTGCCAGAAACCTTTGATGTACTATAACAATAATATTACAGGTACAATTACCCTGCTGGAAGTCATGGCAACGCGTGGATGCAAAAATGTATTTCTCTATACTCTTTTGATTATATTAATTATGCATCTTTTCTCCCTTGCAAATTATTGTATTTACTGGTTTCTGTCGTCAACTCTTCAGCTTGTGTTCTCATCATCATCTACTGTCTATGGCTGGCCAAAAGAGGTTCCGTGTACTGAGGAATCTCCCATAAGTGCTGCAAATCCTTATGGAAGGACAAAGGTATCTTTTGAGTTGTCTCATCTGGTCATTTCAGTGCTCAGCTTATTTTATGAGTGAATATCTGTGATTCTAAAATTCAAACGTATTTCATTGGCTGCCTCTCCATTGAGGTTCTGAGCAGCCAAATTTTATACCACTTGTCCTTTTCTTTTAAGGGAGAGAGGGGTGTGAGAGGAGTCTGTGCTCTTTCTTTTCCTGAATATCAGAATTCTGGTTATGCGTATGCCATGCGTTTATACTCAAAGCTAAGTAGACTTAATTTTCAGCTCTTCACCGAAGAAATTTGCCGGGATGTCTACCATTCTGACCATGAATGGAAAGTCATATTGTTGCGGTACTTCAATCCTATCGGTGCACATCCAAGTGGCTATATTGGTGATGATCCGCGTGGAATTCCAAACAACCTTATGCCCTTTGTTCAACAAGTTGCTGTTGGCAGGAGACCAGCACTGACAGTTTATGGAACTGATTATCCAACAAAGGATGGTACAGCGGTATGTCCCAATTTTCATTAGCCAATCCTTAGTTATTATTATTAATGTGTTAACTTCTGATACTACTATTATGTAACGATATTTTTTCTAGATTATCAGTTTTTTTTAATAAGTGTTCTAGATTATGAGAAATTAGCTCGCACAAATTGGAGTCTTTGACTAGCTGCATGAAACTATGAGTCCAAATGAATGTGGACTCTCTTGCATCTTACTATTTTCTTGCTCTTTCTCTACCATGTACCTCGGAACAAAATTAGAAAAAGGACGCATGGCCACTTCCCAATTTTCATTAGCCAATCCTTAGTTATTATTATTAATGTGTTAACTTCTGATACTACTATTATGTAACGATTTTTTTTCTAGATTATCAGTTTTTTTAATAAGTGTTCTAGATTATGAGAAATTAGCTCGCACAAATTGGAGTCTTTGACTAGCTGCATGAAACTATGAGTCCAAATGAATGTGGACTCTCTTGCATCTTACTATTTTCTTGCTCTTTCTCTACCATGTACCTCGGAACAAAATTAGAAAAAGGACGCATGGCCACTTCCCAATTTTCATTAGCCAATCCTTAGTTATTATTATTAATGTGTTAACTTCTGATACTACTATTATGTAACGATTTTTTTTCTAGATTATCAGTTTTTTTAATAAGTGTTCTAGATTATGAGAAATTAGCTCGCACAAATTGGAGTCTTTGACTAGCTGCATGAAACTATGAGTCCAAATGAATGTGGACTCTCTTGCATCTTACTATTTTCTTGCTCTTTCTCTACCATGTACCTCGGAACAAAATTAGAAAAAGGACGCATGGCCACTTCTCTTTCTTATTCAATCGTTAGTTAGCTTGTAGGAAAAAATTGAGGTGCGCCGAGAGTTTTGTAGTTATGATAATGGGAAAAAATGTGGCTGTCGTTTGCCTGAACATATGACTGATCATGTGGCAATATTTTCAGGTGCGTGATTACATTCATGTTGTTGATTTAGCAGATGGCCATATTGCTGCTTTGCAGAAGCTGTTTGATCCTTTGACAGGTGAGTACTTGCCATTTCTTGACTCTTATTTTACTTCTCTGTCTAAGTTATCTGGTGCTAATTTTCCCAGCAGCTTCTGAGTCCATGACCACAAAGCTCTCTTGCTTTTCTTTTCTGAAGACTGTTTGCCCTGAAAGATATTTTTCAATTCTTCTGTTGGATTCTTGTTCCCCGTGGCATGGTTAAACATGAGAGTGTCACTAATATCCTAGACAGATAGTATTATGTGAGAAACATCAAGTTTTGATCCGGTGTGATCATATTATTCTGCCATGCTGCTTCTATTTAACTAAATCATGTTCTAGTTTGGCTTGTCTTTGCATTTTCTAGGGCAATGTTATTTGGATATCTCCAGAGACATTATTCTTGTTGTATGATGAAGCAGTAGTAAACCTATCTAATAGGCCAAGGTGGAAAATTTCTCTCTGCTTGGTGTGGATTCTACCTAAGATTTGCTAAATCATTTCAGGCTGTGAAGTTTACAACCTGGGAACTGGAAAAGGATCGTCAGTCTTGGAAGTGGTGTCAGCATTTGAGAAGGCATCAGGAAAGGTAGTGTACTTTTGGAATCAGTTCGGTTAATCCTTGGGCATCATCTCTATAGGAACACCCAGTTCAGTGAGTTAAACTTTTATAAATGAAAAAAGAGACATAAGTCACGCATTCGAGGAAGAGACTTTGCCTTATTCACTTACGTAAATAGAGGGCGTTATAAATTTCATTGCTAATTATAATAATGGTGAGCGTGATTTTTTTCTTCTTAGATCGAATTAGAATGAAATAGATTGGCTGGATGCATATTGATAAGTTATTAAAGTTAAGCCTCTTTAGTAGGGTGCCTGTTTAATTTTTCTGATCTGATGTATGCCTGCAAATTTGGATGAGTGCTAGAGTTGCTTCTAGTTCTTCTCATCTGGGAAGAAATTGGACACACTTCTCTTATAATTGAACAGCTTTATTTGGTTCACACATAATTCTAGCTCTTTTTATATCCTCACTGACCGATAGTTATGTTACTGACCGTCCACGTTGTGCGGAAATGCTTTGCTCATTGTGGAACATTCTAGTAGTAACTGTAGCAGTAATTAGTGTTCTTGGTGCACTAAATACCTCCTTATTCTGCTTTTCTAGAAAATTCCACTGGTGATGTCTGGTCGACGGCCTGGGGATGCTGAAATTGTATATGCAGCAACAGAGAAAGCAGAACGAGAATTGAATTGGAGGTAAGTGATAATAACTAATATATCAATCTGTTTACCTGTCTACTACAACAACAACAACAACAAACCCAGTAGTTTCCTTCAAGTAGGGTCTGGGGAGGGTAAGATGTACGCAACCTTACCCCTACCCCTGGAAGAGCAGAGAGGTTGTTTCCGATAAGACCCTCGGCTAGAGAACAATCTGTTTACCTGTCTACATACACCAAATGTCTGGTCTTTAATCGTCTAATTACTTAACTGCTTGTTGAGGCGGTAAAGCCTGATAATGCCCCTCAGCTAGAACTTTCCTGCCTCCCCTTTCTCTGTGACATATACTAATCCGCTTTTGATATGTTTTGTACTAAACGTCCGGCTTATTTTTCAGGGCAAAGTATGGCATTGATGAGATGTGCCGCGATCAGTGGAACTGGGCCAGTAAAAACCCTTATGGCTATGAAGGATCTGAAGAATCAAACTAACAGTGCAGTATACTCCTTTAACTGCAATTTATTTTCATGATCGCATCATTCCAGCTGTTGGTTCGTTTATCCTTACTGCTAATCACCAACATGTAGACCATCAATCTTTTTTCGGGGTAAGGATTCCACGTATATTACTAGGATTACAGAATGGTCGGAACATTTATATTTTTTCTAACTGGAGTTCCGAAGCTAGTGGTGGAACTTTTTCCGCCCTGAAGAAACAGGGATAGTTGATGAATAATGGAGTAGCTCGTTTAGCTGAAACCTATAGTGGCATTTATTCGTTCTTTTATTCTTTTGTAACTAGCAGCATTACAATCATATTTGTTTAAAGAAACTATTTATATTTATTGCTTCAATTATTATACTGGTCCACTGTGTAAGCCTGTTAAGTTAAGCAATTTGCTGGCAGTATATCTTCTATTTAGTAGTTGGAAAGTTTATTATGCTCAAGGATGAACATGCCTACAACTCACAGTTGATTGTGCAGCTGACTGGTTTAGAGTATCCATTATAATATCTTGTAACCCCATGTGCAGTTGTGGTTTATTTGTCACCAGTAAGTACCACATTCGACCACCTATTTCATAATCATGTCAATGCCAATGTTTGGTTTTATTCAACTTAACTAAAGGAAAAGGAGTTGTGCTGCCCTCTTAGGCGTGCAACACTAAGTTTTGTTTTATTCCTTTTTTATGCAACACTAAGTAATTCGAGTCAATTCACATTAGACCAATGATTAATAATTATTTTTCTTGGAGTTATTAAATACAAGTCCATGAATGGGCGAACTAAAGGTTGCATTCATGATTAAAAATCTTTTGGAGAAATCGCTAAAAAAAGATTGAACATGTGGGAGGATTTGACCTGAATTTTGCTTTCATCATGCGGCTAGGAAAGCTCGTTAGACCAATAAATAATTGAATGTTGAAAGGGGGCCCTAAACAAAAAAGGAGTCCAGTTCCTTTGAATATCTGTCATTTGTTGGCTGAATGTATCACTTGCATGGCTTAAGATTCCATGGGTCACATTGTTTATACGAGGAACAAATGAAGAGTTTTAAGGATGATTTCAATCACTTTGTTGATTCAGAAGGCTCTCAAATAGACTCACATCTTAAATTAGAAATAGCCGGCGGATGTGTAATATATGTATCATTCATGTATAATATATGTATAACTACGTATAATCTATGTATACCTGATAGAAAAATTAAACACCGGTTATTTGTGAAACAATCCCAAAATAATAGCCCCACCGGGATGGGCTGTTGGAAGCAGATCAAGCCTCTTGCCCTTCTCTAGTCCAGGCTCAGCCTGATCCCTGTTTGTGCGGACTCCATCTCTAGAATAAAGTTACCTTCGTTGAGTGAAGTTATCCATTAACCACAACAATTTGTGGTAAACTATTCTGCATTTTAATCCATTCGGTATCCCAAACTGGAGTTGCTACCACTACATTACCATTTATTTATTGTGGAGTTTTGTATCTCTTTGATCCATTAAGTATTCTGAACCAGAACAGTGTCGCTACCACGAGTCAAACCACTAAACTGCTATAATTCCTTGTGGAATATTCATTCATGTTTTGACTTATTAGGTTCTTAAACTAAAGCAGAGAGATAGTGTCTGCAGTTGCATCAAAAAGTCCTTGTTACTTTGAAGGAAAGGATCAGAGCGGAAGAAAGAACATACAGTAAAGAACTAGCATTTAAATCAAGTAACTCCATTTATTTAACTAGTTATTATAACTTCTCTCCCATATTAGAGAAACCATCAAACTGATAACGAGCAGAAGTTTAAGGAAACAAGTTTTCTTGCCGATAGACGACATAGTCAGTCATCCACCTTTTGGTACTGCCTTCAGTTCCATCTACATATTATGGACTGGTCACTGTATATATACAACAAATACATACTTACAATTCTAGAGAAGAGTTAATTCTCTATCTTCTCAAGCCTGATATCGATAAGTTTGGAGACTCTTTCAAGAAATGCAGCTTCACTCGTGCCAGGAAGTATGGAATCTTGAGCTTCATTAACAATCTCCTCAATAACAGATTCCTTGTTCAATGTTTCTCTGCACATAATGCTTCCTATGGTAAAAGGAGTAAGTACTCTCTCTACTCCTTTCTTCAGAAGCATGGTCGAGATACGAAGAGTACGAGCACATTCAACAGACAAATCCCATCCACATAACTTAAGAAGTGCAATGTCTTCTTCAGCATCCAATGATTTTATGTAATCAATAGTTTCCAATGAGTAAGGAACCCGGGCTTGTGGCCAATAAAGCCAATCCAATGTGCAATCTTCAAACTGCAAGACACATTTATTCGTACAAAGTCAAGATTCTTACAACAACAACACACTCAGTATAATCCCATAAGTGGGGTCTCGGGACGGGAGTGTGTATGATAGACCCTCGGCTCAACAGAAGCATGCACAATCAATCACAACAGAATAGAGAGAGAAATGCAGTAGTGAAAAAGTCAAAAATGCAGTAATACCAACAAGATAACAGAATAACTAGAACAAGCATCCAGGTAATAATAGAAATCTAGGAAAAAGTCAAGACTCTTAAGAGAAGAAATTTCACTCTAGAGCACTATTATAGATGGTATGAAGTGCAAGTTAATACTTCAGAAATTAACATCAATTCTTATCTTTAGAGACCTCTAAGTAACTCGAGTGGTGAAACTTAGATCTAATAACAAGTGAGGAAACATCCAATTGAACCATTTTCTATTTCAGGCACATCATACGGAGTAAATATTTAGCTCTTATACAGCGTAAGCATACTTTTGTAAGCCTCCAAATTCATCGCATGTAACATTCCTGCAGAGAACAAACTACTTGAAACTTTTAAGTACTTCCATATATACCTAAACAATCAATTCACCAGATAAAGAATTGGAACTCTGAAATTTTTCTCTTTGAGTTCTAACCACTTTCTAAATCACCAATCATCAATTTCATGAAAGTTGAAAGATAGCACTCAAAAGGCCGTTCAAACAGCCTTTAAAAAAAACAAAATAAGCCCTTACATGTTCAGGCAAGCAGTAGCCGTGGTCTATTGGAGTAAGCACGATTCGCCCTTCTTCTCCATGCCTGCTGATTAGTATGTTCCCAGCATGTCTATCTGCATTAGCGGTTCTTATGTCGAAGACAGTGATCTTATGGACCTCTTCCACAGGAAAATCCCTAGGACCAATATCCTCACAATTCCCTTCATTCTTCATAAATAACTGCAGTGAGCCAACCTTAATGTACTTAGCCAACCACTCAAATCCATCCGGATGGTGAAACCCTTCGTGCAAGCACTGAACCATAACTGTGGGGGCCACACCTGAAAAGCCGATCTCCCCTTTGTACAACGAGCGACTCCTCCCCGGGGCCTTTGGATGATCCAGTAAGAAGGCTGCAACCTCTCTGAGTGCACCTTCTCCCACTTTAGTTCCCCTCTTTAATCCTTCACCATTGGATGATAATGGTAATCCTTGAGGATTATTCACAGCTAATGGTTCCTCATCTATAGGCTTAAATACAGCAACATACTTGTCGCCCGAGACATCTTGCATGAAGTAAGTCCCTCCTGAACCTTCGGACGATCTAATGGGAGTTTTTCCATTTGCCAAACCATTAAATGCACAGGTAATCATATCCCTAATGGATGAAGGCAGTTCAATATTATTCGGATTGAGAATGATTGGTTCGACAAAAGAATTACTTTTATCAGGTGATGATGCACTATTTCTATTTCCATCACAATGTACAACACCCCCTCCTCCACCTCCACGTCCTTCATTCCAATTAGCAGCAACGACGGAGAGTTCAACATCCCTCTCGAGATGCTTAGCCCGAACTTTAGCAGTTTTTTTCTGAACCACCAAATGAATCACAGCATCAGTAGTACTAGTAATATCATGAATGAGCCTCTGATCCTCAAGCTTTTCTCCATCACAGAAAAACTCCTGAACCTCAAGCTCCTCGCCAACAAAATCTTTCCCTCTTTTCAAAATACTAAGCTTTAAGTACCCAACATTCTGATGCCTACCAACATGAAATTCAAATTCCTTCCCACTAGTGGTCCTAACATTGATAACAAGCAAATCAGATAGCTTAAGAACCAAATGCAAAACATTCCCATCAGTGACACCATAGTCTTTAACAAGAGAATCATTTCTTGACAACTGTCTTCCTCCAAATACTAGCTTCTGTCTCTTCATTACAAACCCTTTATTTGTTTGGATCCTAAGCTTCACTGACGCGATTGAATCGGATTCCAATACACGCATTGGAGTCACTGAACCCGCGATAGTAATGTATATTACAATTGATTCATTACTGCAATGGTCCAATGGGCCATTGTTGATATGTCTATTAGCCTGAATAGGACTAAAAGCCACATCAACAGCTGACATTTTTTGAATGTTAGGACCCCCTTTTCTTCAATATATCAAACAGGGCATTAATATCTGTGCAAAATGCAGCAGAACATGCTATTGCTCTAATTATCAAACACCTCTAGCTACGCAAACACACACACCCAAAAAAAACTATGAAAAAAAGGTGAAGATCAAGAACATGATGATCAAGAAGCTCAAAAGGCAAGAGCTTCCGATTAATTCTTCTAAAAATATATACTTTTTCCTCTCTTTTTTTCCTTTTTTTTCCTTCAGGAAAATTCAAGTACTAATTAAGATATGCTTCAAATTCAAGACCACCCCTTAAAAATTTGACAAGGAAAATGTATGAGGAGAGTGGGAGAAGAATGTGAAGAGTGAATGAGAATGTTGGGTTTGGGAGTGGGGGGGTTGCTTTACTGAGAAATAGGAATTTGTTTTTCTTGTTTTTGGCAAAGGAGGGTACGTGGATTCTTTACCGGTGGGAAAGAATCAAAGGGAAATGAGTTGATAAAGATGATTTTATATATTACCACTGCTGAGAAGATGATGATTTGGAAAATTAGTTATCCATTTTTTATTTATTTTTTTGTTGTTATATCCGAAATCGGCTATAATTTTTTTTCTGAAATGGTTCAAAAATGGTTCCCGGTTTCTTCGTCCGCTTTTATTAATATTTTATTTTTCAAAAGTTTCAATTAAAAGATGTCGAGAGAGTGGAGTGGGCGGCAGCATAGCCGTTGGCTTAGCAGTTTGGTTCTGACTCCATTTCTGAAAAATGAGGTAAAACTTTGTCACTAACGATACTAACGGTCTTACTGCTGTGAGATTTAACTTTGCGGAAGGCAATGCTGTAGTACTTTTACCCTTTTACCACTCAAGTCATTATTGGTTTAAATTTTATAAAAACATATAAAATAGAAGGTTAATCTTCACATTTATGCATTAGTACATGTATATACTTGTCCCCACATGCACAAATTTACGACTAGAGCTTAAAACATCTTTTTTTTACAAATTTAACAAATACCGGAAAAGCATGCTTTTAGAAAAGGAAAGATGATGAAATGAAGTTGTTTTCATGTTATCACCAGGTTACGAGTTCGAGTTGTGGAAACAACCTTTTGTAGAAATACAGGGTAAGACTGCATACAATATATCCTTTGTGTCCGACCCTTCTTCAGACCCCGTTCATAGCGAGAGCTTAGTGTACCAGGCACTGCAGGAGCGGCTCAACACTATTTGTGGCCTAAAGCCAAATTTAGATGAAAGGCCTTAATTTTTTTATTATATATTTTTTAATAGTTTCTATTTTCTTATTATTTGAAATGCAAATTTAATAATAATTCCCTTTTAAATTTATAATATAATCAATCCATTTTATCTCACTTGACACATTATTGAAGATTTATCAATTTTATTTTTTTTTAAAAATTGCAAAGATAGTTGACACAGGAGCTACTAACATTATTCTAAATAATATAGGCATTTGAAAAAGAATCAAATCATTTTATTTGATTCAGTATATCTATTAAAGTATTATCATCTACTTTAATTATTTTCCTTAATACTTTTAATTTGAATAAGTCTAAGCCAATACCGTCATAATGACTATTTTCTTTTAAGAAACTTTCACGGGGCATTATTTTTTTTTTTTAGATTTTAATCATCTAGATCTTAAATTTTCATTATTAAATATTTTTTTTGCATACTCTCTAAATTTGTTATATATTTTGAAGTGAAAAAATAATTATGTATAAGAAGTAGGCATAATCAACTTAATTTTTTTTTTGAGATTTTGTCATTTTATTGTCAATATACTGGTCAAATTATTTTTTTTATATATGTTCACGTTTATTACGGCATTGTGCCATCAAATATAGAAGTAACACTTTTAGTTTTTGATGAATTTCTACTAATTTTAAATAAAATATCTCTTATTTGTGAAGTTTAATGTGAGACCAAATAATCAATTTTGATTTAAAGAAAAAATCCGCTATCCTATTACTTATAAGATGGCCCCCCAAATATATGAGGCCTAAAGCCGTCGTCTAACTTGCCTAGAGGGTGGGCCGGGGCATCCATTGAGTGAGCATCCATGACTAAACTTTTTTTTCCTCTTCTTTCGAAATTATTATCGAGCATCCATGATTTTAAAATCTTAGACCCGTCAGTGACACGTGACTGCCCTTTAGAGATGATGAAATGATGTATCCACGAGCTTTAATCTACTTTCCTTTTGCAATCTTTGAGTCAGCATTGTAACCTAAAAGTAAGAAGATGAAGTGAATCCATACAGTAAACCTTGTAGCTCAATCTAGCTCAGAAAGCTTAATGTCTCTACTGCCCTCCCATAAAACTTTATTTGCACCTAGTGTTTTGCATCAACCCGGCGAGGATACATGATATAAGTCTATCACTAAATCACAGTTAATTAATACATATTCTTACCTCAATTTATCACTAACCATATATATATATATATATATA